TGACGCTGTCAGAGTTGTTACCGGAATCTCACTAGCCATCGTGCCGTGCTAGATTGTTCAAAGTGCCTCGAGCAATTTTCTTATTTCGTCGAGCACCTTAGCCTTCATGCTGTAAGTTTCTACGATTTGCACGACCCAACCGTCGTTGTATGGTCAAGAGACCGCGTATAGTTATACTCTTCTTAGAATTCTCATTAGCTCCTTGCAACGAGTGTCTTGCCGCAGGCTATCCCGGGTCTTGTACCTAAAATAGCGGTAGGTCTGCGAGTCAAAGGTCCGAGTACTAAGTTCCTTAACAAGTATTTTTTTCCTTAGCCGCGACCGACCGGGACATAACACCCGACATTTTTCTCCCCTCCTACTCGTTCGCAACGACGTTAAACTACGACAAAATTCTTTTAGCAAGAAGTCAATGTAATGTTAAATAACTCTAGGGTATTCTCATAGACGTATAATATTTATACTGCGCGTTCCCTACCTTTGCCATGTTAAGAAAATGTCTTCAACGTTGAGAGAGAGACAGCTGATGTTGAATAGTAGCCTCATCTTTGTCTAGCAAAGTTGTGGGGTAAATGATAGACAGAGAAAAAGTTACTATTCAAAGTATGTTGTCTCTCTCAACGTTGAAAACATCTTTTCAGCCAAACGCGCAGTCTATATAGTATACGTTTATGAGTATTTTTCGTGACCTTCCTTTTAAGTGTAAGCGTTGTATAATTGGTATTCGTTACATTCTGGACGCTTTTTCCTCGACAAGATTTTTGATTGGCCACGTCTCTAGTAACTCGCTTTCTGATTGGTCAAAAATGTTAGTGGTCAATTTGGTAGCCTAGACCGTCAGCATTAACATCCCGTGGTTTTCGTTACGAAATTCGCTTTCTAAGTCGGTAAAATAACGACAAACATTTCTGATTGGTCAAACAGAAAACTAGAAAAAGGGAACAGTGATTGTGCCGTTAGTCCAGCTTTAGGCAGGGAGCCTATGCTTAGGCCTGTTCTACAATACAGTCGTAGACAGTAAGTCGTAAGAAATTGACCAATCACAATTGATTATTTTTCTGTAATTCATCTGTGATTGGTCAATTACTTCCGACTTACAGCTTACGACAGTATTGTAGAACAGGTCTTAAAAAATCGCCAAAAAATCAGTTTTTTGAGTAAAGACTTTTTGATTGGTCGATAAATTCCCTAAAAGGATCAGATTAGTTGAGACGAGTTTCGTTAAGCAAAGGCTGCCATAAATGCTGTGAAAGTTATATAGTGACCCTGAAGCACCGCAACCACGAAGTAAGAGTAAGGAGATCGAACTCCGTGATATAAAAGTGGTCCCGATTCTGACGCCTAATTGGGAGGGAATCCGCTCAAGGGAATAGTTTCTTACGGTTGGACGCCATTTGCAATTAGTAACGTAACCTAACTTTATCTGTCAGTT